CTTTTCTCCAAACCTGCACACGCTCATAATTCCCTGGGGAGTTCTAAAGATTACTAGTGCCCGGTCTCACCCTTGGAGACTTTGACTTAGCTCTCCTTTGGTGGGACATGGGCTTCAGCATTGTTCAAAGCTCCCTGGGTGATTGAAAAGAGCAGCCAAGCTTGAGAACCACCGTTCCGAGACTTTTACAGAATCACAGGCCTCTCAATTCAGGTCTTTAATGGTAAAATTTCTCTAACAGAAGGCACTTCTATTAGAAATGGATCTGAATCAGCATTTCCCAAAGTGTGTTCCTAAGACCACTAGCCTTTTAGATGTCCCATAAAAAGAGTTGGGAACATTACAGAGGGAATTCTCATCAGCAGCTTTCTAACTGTGAAGATTCAAAAAGCACATTGGCATAACTCAAAAACTAGGAGAATCCCTATAATAAAGAAATCTCTTCTAACTTTATTTCACCCAGAATTTTCCCCAATTATTAAAATCATAGAACAATTTCACCTGTAATAACTATTAACATCGTGTCAGACTGGTTCTATAGCTTGTCCTCTGGTAAATGTTAATATAATTGGCATGAATTTCAACCAAAAAAGGAGCTGAAAAGGTGAATATGTGTTTTTAATTTTGGCTTACTTAAATATTCTGATGACTTTATGCTTTGTTCTGTTTTCTAAACAAATTATTTGTTAATAAACTGATGCAATATGTGAATTTTTGTAGTCATTTTGCATTTATTTCTCCTATAGAAGAGGGGTTTGCCCCACATTATGCAAAACAAAGAATCAATCGCTCACTTTTCAGAACAAATTGGATGCTTTTGATTTTCTAAATTTTAAAATTAACTAACTTACTTATCTAACTAACAAGATTACCCAACACCCACAGGTGGAAGATGCCCAGACAGCTCACTTCAGTCCCTGCCCTTGAGATGTTTCTAGTCTTGTCATGGAGATAGACAAATGCTTTGACAAAAACACTATGTGATACCAGTACCAGTTGCCACTGAGTCAACTACAGCTCACAGCAACTGCATGTGGATAAGAGTAGGACTGTGACTCCAACCGTTTTCAGTGGCTGACTTTTCAGGAGTACATTATCAGGCCTTTTTTCCAAGGCACCCCTGGGTAGGTTCACATCTCCAACCTTTAGTAGTTGTCAAACACTTAACTATTTAGGCCACCCAGGACTCCAAAAGATTAGTAAAGAGGTCTTAATTTCCACGAAATCAAAATTACCATTCTGACACAGCAGAATCGCTATTGTTTCCAATTGCTTTTGAAAGTTCACAGGACTTCTGTCTTGATCTGTTTAACATGTTTGCCTTTCATCTGAAATACTCTTCCCCACTGGAATGCAGACTGTTGTTGTTGTTGTTATGTGCCGTTGAGTCAGACCCTAGTCATAGCGACCCCTCCTTGGATTTCCGAGGCAGTATCACTATGGAAGTAGATTGCCCCATCTTCCTTCCGAGGAGTGGCTGGTGGGTTTGAACCG